TTGAGGAACCAAACGGAGAAGACGTAGAGATTGGAGTTGTTGGTTAGTGGGCGGAAGCCGGAGGCGAAAAGGGAGTTGGGGGAGAGGAGAATGAGGTTTTGTTCCGGCCGCCATGGGGATTGGGAGATGGAGAAGGAGGAGAAGTTCAGGGGCTTGGCTGCCGGCGGCGGTTGGGCGGCGGCCGGAGATGTGAAGAAGAAGAGGAGGAAGAAAACGGCGAGAGACATGGTCAAGAGTTGGAAACTTGGCTACTGGAGGCCATGGAGGCCTATGGTCAACTCTCGGATCTTCCATTGATTTATCTAACTCAACCATCCCTTTCAAAGTTTGAAATAGAAAGAAAATAAAATTTATTAATGTTGTTACTTGAAAAAATTATTCAAGTTCGGCATTAAATTATAGTTTTCAACTTTTTTTTTTCATAGGTCTAATTATATAAAATTATTCTCAATTGATTAACGTACCTATTATCGATCAAAAAGTCTAGACATTTTGAATATTCATCTTACATATTGTTGAACTAAAATAAAATTATACAAAATGATTATTAAACTAAGTAAATAAGATATCTAATACCACTTCAAARTTGATGATTCGAGGTAGGGGTGACCATTTGTTTCTATGTCAGACYGATGCACARTTTTTTTCCTTTCTATTTTTAAAAWAGTTGTATTTTAATAATTTTATTTTTTTAAGAAAAAATGTTAAAATTTAATTATAAATAATTGTATAACTTTTTGAGTTGTTAAACAATAAAATTATATATTTTTTAAAACAAATTTTATCATCTATATATATACTTGATGAGTTTATCGATTTTTGAAGTTTAGAATAATCGACCAATTGACTAATCAATTTGCATAAGGAAAAATTGACTTCCGACAAGTGCATTTGTCAAATTGATCGACTTCAGTTTTGTTGAGTTTTGTCTAATCGACTTAATTTTTCGACTGTCTTTTTGAACCTCTAGTTTGATTCATTACCCRTCATTATTGAACTTGAAATATAGATATATTTATTGGTTACATTGTTGAAACATTTTTAAATAATTCATCAGAAATTGTTTGTGATCATTGTTCTGTCTCGAGCTCCTTATCTTTTAACTCTACTTACCGAGAAGGCAATGGTGCAATGCACAGATTAGTCCGAGTTGTTCTTTCTCAACGTTTAAATTGTGTATGGCTTGATGAAGTTCCTGCTTTTCTTGTTAGGATAGTTTTTTCGAATTGTTTGTCTGGTGTTCTATAGTTATTTTTTGTTTTTTTATATCGAAAATAATAATAATAATTAATCAGAAATACTATGACTATTTATTTATTTATTATTTGTTTATTTATTTTTGAGAAGGAGAAAAATATCATGCCTATTAGGTGGGGGTGAAAAAAAATTATTCTTTTAATTGCTCAATTATACATCATGAGGCGGCCGCATTTAATAATTATCTACATGTGACAATTTGTTGAATAACGATGATTATTTTTATTGTTTTGTAGCTTGACTTTGCAGGGTGCAATACAAAGTTTGAGAACAAGGTTTTCTGTTCTTCTTATTTAATTTTTGAACTTATTATTATTATTATTATTATAAAGAAAAATAGCTTGTCAACTTGGTTTTCTTTTATATCAAAATTATAAAAACTCTATCAATTTGCATTAACATATGAGATAATCAATTACAAATTTGGATATGCTACAATTATATATATATATATATATATATTTGTTGAATTTTATTGTTATTTTGAAGCAAAGTTGTAGCACACATATGTATACCAATTCTATAGATTTATACAACCAACTTTCTCAATTAAGTGTCAAAGTGAGTATAGCCTCAGCGGTAATTGACATATATCGTAGATTGAGATGAATGTATCAAATATTGACAATTCAAATTTACGAATATATCGATAGATATTTAGATATCATCAGATATTTCAAGAAAAATTCTAAATATCAGAAAAATTCTTTGAAATTTTGTGAATTTCTTAATTGATAAAATTTTAGAGAAACTTATTTAGGTTATATACTATCTTTAATAATGTATATGATTATCATATACGTTAATATAAGAATAGATAGTAAAGAAATTAATGTCAACAAATCAACCAAAATTTGATTAATGAATTGATAATTAGATGATGTCAGTTCATAACATATCTATCATTATTGTTAATGAGATGTATTTGGTAATTCTACACACGAATGAATCAAAACTTTGTTAATTTATAATCACAAATGAAAATTACACTCAACTGATTCTAAACTATTCGTGATAAATACTTTATAATCATTATTTTGATAATCAACTTTGTTTGAGCCCGAAATTGATGAGCTCAGATACAATTTAGATCGGTACGTTCAAGACGAACTACGACTAACGGTCCCACACCTTCCCTGAACACCCTTGAGACCTGCAAAACAAAGTTAGTACTCTGACGAGCAAGTTAGTTCTAGTCCGAGCTAACTTGCCGAGTCTACTTAAGATTACGTACCTTGCATTTAAGGCAAAAGTTTCTATTTATAGAAACTGGGCCCGACAGAGATTCTGACACACCCTAAAATCATGGCGTGTTGTCGGGTACGGAAGAGACATTGTTACGGACTTTACCTCAGGTCGGCTCGACACTGTAGGTCCTACCCTTACTGCCGACCTGAGTGTCTTGAAGTCAATTTCTACATTTCGTCCGCGCGTTCGCCCAACTCATTTTTCCGATCATGACACGTGGCAGGCCAGGATTCGCCTCCAACAAACTTTAAATTTATTCTTCAAAAAATGACTATACACCAATTTTATCATTGCAAAATTAATTTTTATTTGTTACCAATAATGTTCACCTTTCCTATCCTCGTCTCCGTGAATTCCCCTTAAAATTTTGTTGGGATCAAAGTGGAAAAAATTTCTTATTAAATAAAAATTGTCATTTTTTTTTGGAGAATTTGTGGGAAATTTTTCTTTGTTTATTTTTTATTTTTTAAAATTATTTATCAATTAAATATTTTAATTCTAAAGAAACATCTAATCAATTACTTAATTTTTAACATAAAACATCATTTACATGTCTAATCCTCCTCTATATATATATATTGGGTGGTCATGCGGGATAAACAAAAGAAAACTATTATACACGCAGATAATGATAAGTTTTTTAGTATATACATATTAAAGAAGTGAGTTGGAGTTATTTAGGTGACGGGAAAAAACTTCTCCTACCCTACSTGTGGAGAATCTAAATGGAGATTCATCCTCGTTAGGCGGATCCCGTAGTGAAAATGGACATCCCAGTTACCAAACACTCTAAATTTTTGAACAAATACTTTTGCCTCTTTAAAATCAAGTTAACCCAAATAGTGTTTAATACATACAACATCAATTACCTCAATGATTCAATCCCTACCTCACCCTTGATGAACTCAAAATGGATCGATATTAATGGAGATCCTTACAAAAATCATGAAAATTAGGAAATCTACCCACACAACTAAACCATCTGAATTAAAGTTAAA